CCAGGAGCTGAGTATTCCACGCGAACGCCCTCTGGACCCGCTCGTCTCCATCCTCCGCGAACTCCCTCCTATTCCGAACGTAATTCTGTGCAAGGCACATATTATCTCGCCAAACCTCGTCGCCGTTTCTGCCCTCATAGCTGCTTCATCTCGAAACGGTCGCGATCCCGTCGTAGGTGTTGGACGGACCGTGGTACTATCTCTCCCCCGCCACGGCGCGCCACTCAAGAAGGGACTGTGGCCAACCCCGTTGCCGCGACTCAGCATCTCATCACCTGCGGACACAGCCCGGGATATCGTCTTGGGAATACTCCTCGCCCTCCCTTTCCTCCTTGTCTTGCTTATCTCCAGCATATGCAACATCTACGTCGGAATCGAATGGATCTGTCGTCGCGCACTCACCCCGCCCATGGATCAGGTCCAGCGTATTGCGCAGGACTTCCAGAACATGGTGGGCAACTCGATGCGCCTCCAAACACTAGCCGCGTCGGGCACACAGTTCACGCTGGTCACATTCACGGGTGACTCGTCCCTGACCATCCCCCGAATCCCTGGGCTCAACCGCGCCATGTCAAGCGCCGTACTCACTGCTCTAGATCTCGGCACTGAGACGCTGCGGACGCTGACGATCGAAAATAACGCCGCGCTCGACCTCTCCGCCCTACTATCATTTCTCCATCGCCACGGCGCACTCACCGACGTTACGGTCAGGCCTGGTGCACTCAACGACGCCTCTTTGTCGGACGCCTTCATCATTCCCCCCGCCTACGACGGGCACCTCACCCTCCTCACGGCGCCCGCGGTGTACATACCACCCCTCCTCCGCTTCGAGCGCCGCATCACGCACCTCACGGTCACAGACGCGAACACCCGTCCGCATCACCTGCCCTCCGTGCTCGCTGCGCTCGCCGCGAACCCCGCGCCCCCGCCCATTTCCCTCCAGCTCGATCTCTCCCCGCCCGCGCGTACCCTGCCCTGGCGCGTCGCCGGCGAGGCAGCCAGCACCGCCTTGCCCTCCGTCCGCCGCCTCGTCCTTAGCCTCGCGTACAAGATGCAGTTCACCGCGCGCGACGTAGAGGTGTTCCCGCGCTGGCTCGAGCGCTGCTTCCCCGCGCTGGTGTACCTCCAGCTGCCCAGGCAGGCGGTGAGCGCGAGGCAGCAGGTGGCGCTGCGGGCGGCGCTGGCGGCGCAGTACACCGCGTTTGCGGGGCTCTCGGAGGGATTGTTTTTCGTGTGATTACTTATGGCTGGCGACGTGTACGTCGCTGTTCCGTCCTTCAGGTCCTCGATTACTGTGTAAAACTCAGACGACGGCTTGTAGCGACGTGGTGAGGACAGGGCGATGATCGAAGTAAAATTCCACAACATACACTTCACGACCTCACCTTGATTCGAACAAGCTACGGCCCACGAATGAGTCGTTCCACGAATGAGACATAGGCTGTGAGGGATTCCTACAGGCTCCTTCCTCAGATACCTGAGTATGTCCTCCTTGTGAAGCGCCGAATACCTATCTCGCAAGCTGCGGATACGTGTGCATCAACTCGGGGAACATTCGCTGCTCAGTTTGAGTATCTCACCCAGCCATGCTTTGCCGAGGAGAGGATTGAGTTGAGATCCCAATGCATCTTGTAGTACTTAAGTATGTGTCAGTTGAATTGTCGTCGGAGTGAATCGGCGTTGAACCGCACCGGTTCGCGGATCAGTCTACTAGATTGGGATTTTCAAGCATGGCAGTAGGATGATATAGCAGCGAGGAGATCAAATATCCCAGGATTTGCTCTTTCAGGTGCCGCGGTAAATGAATCCGGGTTGAACTCTGCCTCGGACCGCGGAAGTAGCATAGGACATTGTCCAAAGTTTGTAGTTGGACAAGCTGCTGTTATGGCGGATCTGAACATGAGCTCGAGTCTCACCAGCATGGAGTGATTCAAATGAATCATTTTAAGTTTTTAACTATACTTAAGCACTCCCAGTTCTGCCGATCTGTTTTCTGGACCCCGGTTGAGATTTCCAGGGAGTGGTGAAACCCTTCAGCTCTGTAGTGACCGTATTTATGGCACACTGTTCTATCCTAGGATGGCCTGCTGTGGATCATGGTGGATCATCCTCACCAATTTCGTATCGCCGAGGGTTACGAAGAAGAAGATGTGGGTTCGACTCCCACCAGCAGCCTCACCGGATGCAACCTCATTTCTTCTTTCTTCTGGGTTGACCTAGGCATAGTTCCTGCTCGGAGCTTACTCCTGGTTTCCCAGTTGGTTGAAACTTGAAAGACAGTGGAGATGATGTACTGAGAGTAACTGACCTGATAAGAGAGTAACTGACCTGATGATTTTCCTTGTGTGTTGTTACACTGCATGGTTTTCCTTCCCTGACATGCTGCTGTAGATTACGGTGGATCATCCTCGTCTTGTAATTCTTTCTCATTTCAGGAGGAAAAAGTGGGTTCGACTCCCACTGGCAGCATTCGGCGCCGAAGTCTCGATTTTTGCCTGATCTAATGCTTCTGTCTCAGCTCCTCTCATGATATCTGAATGCCGTTGGATGATTTTCGGTGCATCTCCCTCTGAACATTCAATGTTTAACATTAACCTTCTTGAAATAGCCTGAGTGGAGAATGAAAAAAGAGAAAGGGTGGTTGATGTGAACTCACTCAACAAGTGGGACACATCTACTCTTGTGGCACACAATTTATAGATAGACAAGCTGCTGTATGGATCGCGGTGGATCATCCTCTTCTCGTTGCCCAGTTGTACTGAATGTTAATGAGGAAGATGTGGGTTCGACTCCCACCGGCACCATCGTGTGGTAATGGTGCTCTATGCCTTTTTCCTCATCTCGTCTTACTATAGTTCATTCTTCTCCCACCCAGTCGCACGAATAAATCTTCAGTTTTTCCACCTTGGTTGAAACTTTACGGAAATGCAGTGGGTAATGAACGGGGGGGAGGACATTCACAGTGTATGTGGCTTCATCATATACAGACACAGTCTGTTCCTCCCTTGCAAGAATTTCACAGTTTGGGAAGCTGCTGTGGATCGTGGTTGATGTCTTGTGTCCTGACGATAAGCTTCTGTTTCACGAGGAAGGTGTGGGTTTGATTCCCACCAGCAGCATCCAGTTCTATGAATGCCATTTTTTTTACCTCTCTCTCAATAATAGGTGCTTAGGCTGTCTGCCGTTTGAACAATTTTCTTCGCTGAGTTTTGAGATAATTACATAATGGACCGTGGTTGAAACTTGTGTGTAAGATGGAAGACTTGAAAAGTGGTTAGTGTATAGTGCACTGTTGCATATCCTTACAGACAAACTGTTGTGGATCATGGTTGATCATCCTCACTCAATATGTCAGGTGTTCAAGTTTACCGCTTTGTGAGGGAGATGTAGGTTCAACTTCCACCAGCAGCCTGGTCCAGGCACTGCGGTTTTTCTTGGTTGGACTAGGTTTTGTCAGTTCCCGCTCAGATTGGTTTCCTTCGTGGTTGAAACAGAGTGGTGTCTGCTGACGAAAAAACTAATCTCTCTGTTGGAACCTGCATTGTGTTGTGTTAAGTTACAATGTGCTTTCTTTTTCATATGCCGAAAAGCTGCTGTGGATCATGGTTGATCATCCTTGGCAAGTAAGGCATGCCGTTCCGTACAAGCTTCCGAGGGAGCTGTGGGTTCGACTCCCACCAGCAGCCTGACCGAGAAACTGGGTTTTTTTGGACTAGGTAGTTCCAGTTCCTGCTCGGAGTCACCCTGGTTAAAACACAGTGAAGTGCTGAGCCTCCTGATGAAAAAAATGATCTCTTTGTTGGAACCCACATTGTGTTGTGATAGTTACAATGTACTTCTTCTTACCCAGAAAAGCTGCTGTGGATCATGGTGGATTGTCCTCATCTTGTAGCTGGCTGGCAGACGAGATACACTTGTGAGGAAGATGTGGGTTCAACTCCCACCGACAGCCTGAGCCTACTTTCCTCTACTTTTATGTATTTATTCTGTGCCGCTTCTTCTCTGGTCTTTTGGCGACAGCTCACCTTCTAACTTAAAACACAGCGGAATGTATGGATGAAAAACTCCCTCCTTCAGAGCGTTAGTTATTATGTTCTCATCCTGCATTCAGACAAGCTGCTGTGGATCATGGTTGATCATCCTCACCTTGTTCCTGTGAGCAAACCAGCCATATTTTCGGAGGAGGGATGTGTCTTGTGGGTTCGACTCCCACCGGCAGTGTTCGAACTTCGTGCTGTGCCTTTACTATCTAGCTGCCAGCTTGTTCTCAACCCGCAATATATCATGCATTTTCTTGCTTGGGTTCTGAAATTTCAAACTTGCTTCAAACTTGAAACCAACTTGAAACACAATGCGATCGAGATGATCCGCTGGGGGAAGTCATTCAAGCATGTTGAACCCTTCACCTCTGCCCCAACCCCATTTTATAGCACTAAGCAGGCTGGTTCATATTGTAATAAGCTGCTGTAGATCACGGTCAATCATCCCTACCAAGTATGTTAGGTTAATTGTGCTTCAGAGGGAGACATGGGTTCGACTCCCACCAGCAGCATCTAGTGATTTCGAGGGACTTTTTTTTTTATCTCCCTCATCTCATATAGGTGCCTACGTTGTCTGCCATCGGAGGTTTGGAGATTTTCATAACTTTGAACTGTGGTTGAAACTTGTGTGTACTGTACTATTTCGACCAAAGGTTCAGGTGACGGGTGACGGCGACCTGTGAACTGAACAATTTCGGCTCTGGTGACAGTGACAGACCGTTTTCCTGGCTCAATTAGGCTGAAAAACACGAAAATTTTGGGTCCGGCACTTGCCGGACATCCGTATATGGTAATTTTTGGTGATTGCCGATCAATGAACGCCTTGCTCAGTGAACGATTGCGGTGACGGGTGACACGCCGTGAACCTTTGGTCGAAATAGTACAGTATGTAAGGCAGAGGACTTGAAAAAGTGGTTGGTGTATAGATAATAGTGCACTGTGGCATATACTTACAGAAAAGCTGCTGTGGATCATGGTTGATCATCCTCACTTAATGCATCAATTGGAAGGTTGTCAGGACTTTGTGAGGAAGATGTGGGTTCGACTCCCACCAGCAGCTTACTCCGGTTCCTGCGCTTTTTTGGACTAGGTAGTTCCAGTTCCTGCTCGGAGTCACCCTGGTTAAAACACAGTGGAGTGCTGAGTCTGCTGCTGAAAAACATAATCTCCCTGTTAAAACCTGCATTGTGTTTTAATACTCACACTGTGTTATGTTACACTGTCCTTTACCCAGAAAAGCTGCTGTGGATCTTGGTGGATCATCCTCATCTTGTAGCTGGCTGGTAGACGAGATACATTTATGAGAGGAATGTGGGTTTGACTCCCACCGGCAGTGTTCCTTCCACCTTTCCGGCTGTGCCTTTTCAACCTCAAACCTAGCTGCTTGCCTTCTCAACCCGCGATATAATATGATATGGAGGTCTCATGTGCAGCTTTCAATGATTGTTTTGGAATTTCAACCTTGGTTCAAACTTCAAACAGTTGAATGATGATGCTTTGGAGAGAAGATCATTCAAGCGTGTTGGCACTCTTCACCTCCGTCCCAACCCCATTTAATACCGCGCTGTTTCGCACCTGAATAAGCTGTTGTGGATCGTGGTGGATCATCCTTGCTAAATTGCTTCGTAGTATATCTTCTCAAGGGAAGACGTGGGTTCGAATCCCGCCAGCGGCATGCGGTCTTCCTCGCAGTTTTTCTCGCCTCGCACCCGCCTCGCTCTCATCTCTCTTCCTTTCTTCCGTTTTTGAACCTGGTTGAAATTTGAAACTTGAGATACAGTGCAGGTGATAATGAAACAATCTGGAGCAGACAAGATCCACCTATACTGTGTGCAGGTTCATGCACTAGCAAAGCCGCTGTGGATCATGGTTGATCATCCTTGCTTGGTCGCATACTAACCATGTAGTTCCATTGAAGGGGAGTATATACAAGAAACGAAAACGAAGACGACCATATATATAGGGCCGGCACACTGCCGTGGATGGCCGAACTGTCACAACTCGGCAAGCCGAAGAGGTAACAAGTCTCACGATCACATGTGTCACCCTCGAGGCAAGGATGGTTGAGCGGAGACGCCGAGTCTGCCATCCTAGATATCGAGGATCCAGATAATTTCAGAGTATACAAGGCCACTGATTTTTTTGTGGATTTTTGTCAAGACTCCCCCACATGTATTCCGAGGTTGAACTTGACCCAGTCGGCTCCGGCCCTAAACTGGACTTCGTCGGCGGGACTGTAGTAGTTATAAGTTTGCCAAGCTGTTCAGGGAGTACCATCATTGCATATTGCCCAAGATTATTCAAGCAAGATCTGATTTCTTCATGGGACCCCCCATGTTTTTTACCGGTCAAAGCTCCGACTCATAACGCGGTCATGTGACCTACCAATCAATCCGAGCGATGTCGTGTACAAAAAGCATGTGGTCAATGGGAGGGATTTCTAAGAAGCCAAAGGCTTCATTTACATACCTAGAGTGCATGACACCAGTACGATATGGTTCAAATAACAGCCCAAGGGACATATTCGGGTTGTAAGTTGCGGGAAATTACTTATCAAGAGACGAAAAATTGTATATGCAAGATGAGCATTAATTTGAGGCTTGTAAGTAAATGAATGAAGATAACAGGGTTCAACGAATAGGGTACGGGTCCGAGGCCAAGATCTCCTCGTCCGAGTCATCACTAATGGGATACATAGGATAATCCTCCACAATGGCCTTGAGAGTATTGTCCAGGATATCCGAGTTCAACGCCCCCGCATAATCGAAATCTGACCTTGGGCCCAAGACGGGAGTGGGGCTACGAAGACCGGGGAAAAGGTCCAGGGCTGGCAGAGGTGAGTGTGGGGGGGAATAATATTCGGGTGTAACATCTATAAAAGAGCGTTAGTTGAGTTGATTCTGGTGGGTTAAAATATTTTAACCTGTCCGTACCATTTGCGCGATTCCAGTTCGATGGGCCCGCGACAGGCGTGTGAGGGTCAGAAGCCGCACCGCGTTTGAACAGATCGAGTTGCCGGCGCAGCTCAAGCACCTCCAATTCCGCATCCTTAGCTTTTTGTTGTCCAGTCTTAACCTCCTCTCGAAGCTTTCTAGCATCGCGACCAGAAAGGCCTTCGAGCTCGCGTCGCTTTTCCCTAGTGCGTGCGTCGCGCTGAGACTTACTGCTGAAACGTGCTTGAACTGAATTGTTGCCATTTTCGAGGACCCCGGATGAGAGCGTTGCTTTGATGACTCGTGCAGTTTCATTGTCCGCCTTCCTGGCCCTGGAACGGGTTAGGTCAGGGACCCTCAAGCCTTGTCAATGGACGCACAGTAGAATTGCCTCAAGCAGGGAACGGCCAGTGTGACTCAGTTGATTGTCTTGGGCATGACTGCCCTCGATTGGGTTGGTGTCGGACGGTGTGAGATCCCAGTGGCGATTATTGATGTGAGAGAGTTGCCGGTTGAGAGATGGAAGCAGCCATGGGTAGCTCAGCTTGTGCGCCCACCAGTCTATCAACAAATCAGATCTGTTCGGGAAGTTGGTTGAATTTAACTCACTTTGAACCTGGGTCGTTTGCGACTCCGCACAAAATGTGTAGTAATTTTGAACCTCTTCGTCCGAGACGAGGTAGGGGAGCCCCATCAAATAGGCAAGGTCGTTTTCACTGATGTGGGCCTTGAGTGCGAGGACACCACTTATCCGGGCGCGAGTAAGTGTCAAACTTGCACTTAACAGAGGGAACTCACCGGTTGAAATGAACGATGCAGGTCTTCCAAATCAGCATCAAGAGCGAGTCGACGTCCAGACCTTGCCCGGCGCTCGTGTTCATTTGGCGTAAGATGATAACGTCTCCAAGCCCTTGGGCCTGAGCGCCTTCCGAGTCACCTATCACACCAAGCAGCTTGGAGTTCCGCGAGTTGAAAACCTGAAAGTTGAGTTTTTTGCCGGTGATGGTTTCAATTGCCGTGAAGATACCGTCCCAAACAAGGACGAACGCGGCTCGTGTGGCGCGATTGCTCCAAACACGCCCAATAACAATACCTGTGATAAAGTGAGCTCGGAGATTGGTCAACGGGTCAGAACTCACGCTTTGCGATGGAACTCAACCAGATAACAAGCTTCCACTCGTTCATCTTGCCGTGAACAACGGCAAATGTTGTATCCACCATGATCCACATAGCCTCGAGCGTCAGCGAAGCCAGATATGGATCGATGGTAATGATAACATGAGTGGTGTCGCCCCGCGAGGGTAACAGCGTGAATGTATCTGTCCTGAATTCCCAGTTGTTGGTCCTTGGTAAACTCGTGATAAACAGCTGCGAAGGGAGTCGGTGGTCTGGTCAAGGTGAAATAATGGTTGAGACTCACCCGTTACACCGGTACCTTCAGGGAATAATGTCTCACGCTTCAACTTGACCATGTCACGACGCTTGCGACTGTTGATCATGCCAGGGTGAAGCTCTTGTGGAAGTTTCCCATTCAGGATTCCGCTCGTACTGGAAGCTGAAAAAGTGATTAATTCTGAACGCTACCAGGTAAGCAAGGGTGAGGCTTACACTTATCAACTCGAAGGGTACTCGTCCCAACTGGCCCCGAGGCGTCGATGCATTGCTGGTACTTCTGCTTGACAGCGGAGGGTATCTTGGTGCGAGGAAATGATGGATGGGTATGAGCGATGCCTTCACGCGGAATTATAACTATGCGGAGGTCGTTTGCGTCGATTGGGATGAGAAGGGAGAGTTGCGCATGACAGGAGCGCTTTTTGAGGTCTGCAACAACGTGTAAACCATGCTGGTAATGGGTACGGGCTGGAGGAAAATTGAGTAAGGGAATACGGATGAGGTTTTAGCACGTACAACACTTCGAATTTTTAGTGAGGTGTGAAGGATGAACGATGGTCTCGCAGAACCCGGCGAGAACATCGGTGTCATCATCTCCTTCGTCGATTGGGAGGTTTTGAAATAATTTAATCAGAATGGACTCCCGAACAGAGGATGGAATAGCGGTAAACCGGTGACTTTTAGACATCTTGTCTGCATTGTCGTCTGTCCAGTTGGAGCATCCGACAAAATAAGCCTTTCCCTGCACCTTTCCCTGACGGAATGTCAATAACTAGCGTCTCAGCATGAATAGAATGGCGCTACTCACACCTCTGAATCTCCGCAATACTGCACGGCCACCACATTCATCGTCAGTTCTTATGAACTGGCTCTTGCAGTAGCGGGACGTCGCACTGCGATAGAATCTGGCATTTTATTGAGTTGAGATTCGGGGACAGGCAAACAAAACACTCACGCGGACGCAGTGGAAGCGACACTTGTTGCCTCTGCTGCTCTTGCTGCCATAGCGGGTGCAGAGATCTGCAGATGAGTCTCCTCGGTGTCGTCCCAGCGGTTACAGTTGTCGAGGAATGTGTTAGCAGCAAGAGAGCAAGTATAGCACCCGTTGCAAGTCAAGGTTGAACGACGACATAAAACAGGGTCATCAGAATCCCGGTCAAAAATCACGACCTTGGCAAGTTTGCCTTGCGCTTTGGAACCGGTGGGGCCCATGAACGCGTCTTGGCACTTAAACGGATATCAGCGGTTCAATTTCATTCTGCGCACAAAAGACCACATACCTCTTTCTTCAAATACGCATCAAGCGTCAACAGATGCCCGTCGACGTGGAGTAGTTGTGGTGTTGCACTGAGATCAAGAAGGTAGGCGATGCGGTGGCCCAAAGCAGGGATTCTGTAGCTCTCCAAACCCGACTCGAGGTGAATAACCTCATCAACAAATATTCCACCCTTGCGGGTCAGGGGCCTGGCGGTCACCCGAATACCCTGTTCGGAGTCTGAATCCGACTCAACTGCACGTTCTTTCCCCTTGCTGCGCTTCGATTGCCGTTTTGTCGGCTTAGAATCGGTGTTGGCCTTGCGCTTCCGCTTTGGAGCGGGGTCTGATTCGAATTCTGACGACGACGAAGCTGCAGAAAAATGAACCGGTGAGAATTCCTCGCCCAAAACAAACAGAAATTTCGTACCGTCGAAGGAACCACCGCCACGAAGACGAAGCGCCAGACCGAATGACGAGC